TATGCATGGTGTAGTTAAGCAATTCTGGATTTATAGTTATGAAGTTATGGATGTATAGTTATGAAGTTATGAATGTGTAGTTATGCAATTCTGGATGTATAGTTATGAAGTTATGGATTTTTTTTAAGTTGACGTCGTTTTTGCATTTGTGTGCACCATGCATAGTGCACACGGATGCACAGCATAACGCCCCTTATCCCATTGGTCCAGGACTTATCTAATAAAAAATGGGCCCCTCGAGGTCCCATGTCCCCATCATAAGTCCCCCACTTTCTTTGGTTGTATTTGAAGAGTAAAGAAAGTATAAACACTCTCGAGCTTTCATGCGCCTTGACACTCTCGACTCCTGGTCTGGAAGGTTCTCCTTTCTTTCGGAAAGTCGCTTTCCCTACTTGCGGGCCTAGAAGAAATGGTGCTCACTGCCTTTCCTACTTGCGTGTCGACGAGCCGCCTACCTTACATGCAAGCCTGTATGACTCTGTTTTTTCTCTTTTTATTTTCTCATTTTTTTTTGTGAGGTGCGGTGCCTTATTGTGCCACATTCCTACTTGCGGGCCTAGAAGAGATGGTGTTCGGACGCCTTCCATACTTGTGAGCTGATGAGTTGCCTTCCCTACATGTAGGCTCCTTGGGCTGCCTTCCCTATATGCAGGCCCGTAGGACTTTTTTTTTCCATTTTTTCCTCTCTTTTTTAAGGCTTGATGTCTTACTAGGCTGCCTTCTCTGCTTGCGGGCCCATGAAAGATGGTGTTCCACCGCCTTCCCTACATGTAGGCCCGTATGAATTATTTTTTTTTTTTTCTTTTTTTAAGGCATCATGCCTTACTAAGCCGCCTTCCCTGCTTGCGAACCCAAGAAAGATGGTGTTCGGCCGCCTTCCCTACATGCATGCCCGTATTCCTTTTTTTTTTTCTCATTTTTTTTTTTGCGCGATGCCTTGCTGGGCCGCCTTCCCAACTTGTGGGCCTAGAAGTGATGGTGTTCGGCCGCCTTCCCAACATGCCGCAAATTATGCCGTGGAAATGTGTTCACCTTTCTTGGTGAACACGACCCCAAACGACATCGTTTTTACCGAAAAAAAAAATTAGTTAATGTGCTGTTAACGGCGTTTTGCATTCTATGTTCAGATTATGAATTTACATTTACTAAATTATTAATTGAGGTTATGAATTTACATTTACTAAATTATTAATTGAGGTTATGAATTTACAGTTATGTAATTATGAATATTTTCTACATTCATAATCTCATAACAGAAAATTCATAATTTCATAACAGAAAATTCATAATCTCATAAAAGAAAAACATTTATTAAATTATGAATTTTCTGTTATAAGATTATGAATTTACAGTTATGTAATTATGAATTTTTTGTACATTCATAATCTCATAACAGAAAATTCATAATCTCATAAAATAAAATTCATAATTTCATAACTGCACATTCATAAATCTATACCTGCACATTCATAATTTATGAGTGTTGAAAAACTTGCGCGAAGAGGAAGTGAAACCACAAAATGTGAATATGAAGAAGAAAATTCGCGCTGTTAAAAAAAAAAAAAAAAAAAAAAAAAAAAGATTGGTGGAGGATAATGGTGCCCGTAGGCACCGTTACAGTTTGTAACCGTGTTCACCATGAATGGTGAACACGGTTCCATGGCATAACGATTGCCAACATGCAAACTCCTTGGGCTGCCTTCCCTACATGCAGGCCCGTGTGACTTTTTTTTTTTTTTTTTTTTTTTAAAGCGCGATGTCTCCTTTGGCCGCCTTCCCTACTTGCGGGCCGATGAACCGCCTTCCTTACATGTAGGCTCCTTTGTCCGCCTTCCCTACATGCAAGCCCATATGACTGTTTTTTCCCTCATCCATTTGTAATATTGGGTAGGTTACTTAGCCTTCAAGCCCAATCAAAAATATATGTTAATATTTTTCCATTGTAGAAATATTTTTCTTACCTCCTCGAGCCACTTGCACTAAGGCTCCATCCTTGGCGGTGTCCTCCTCCCAGCTCGTGGAGTGCTGAGTAGGGTAAGACGATGATTTGCTTGAGAGTTCGGGTTGACGACCGCCTACAGGGTCAGACCGGGCTGCACCCCCCATTGTTGTTGAGCAGCCCACTCGCAGATGACGCTAGGCCCGACTCTTGGGGGATCTTTGTTGGTTCTGTTGATGGTAGCATATCCCCCAACGGCTATAGTGCTAGTCAAACCTATCACGTTCCCCATAAACAATATACATATATATGGCCTATAACAAATCATCTACTATACTAATAAGAGCCCAAGAGAGTTAGGCCTATAATGGGTAGAAAAAATGGCTGTCAAATTTTTTAATCAAATGAATGGCTCAGATTGATCAGATTTTATTTTTTCTTTAAGATTTCCTAATTTATCTTTAATGAATATGCTTATTTGTTAACTTTTCTGTTAATTTCTGTTAGTTCACCGTTAACTTACTCATTGATTTCAATAAGAAAGGTCTTAGGTTCGAACCCCATCCTAATCGAACTTGGCATAATTAGTACTCTATTTTACTCTTATTAAATTAAAAAAATAATAATTTAGTAGCTACGACAAAAAATAATACATATGCATTTCTTTAATTTAGAATTATGTGTCGACAATGTCTTTATTCAAAAAAATTATTCATTATCAATAAATTAAATAAGAGAAATACTTTCATTAGTTATATTGTCTTTATTTTTCTCCAATATAAAAATTCTTGTCTATTATATTTTTTGTTCACTATTTTTTAATTAAATATCAAAGTTATAATACAAAATAATGCTATATATTTATTTACCAAGTATTTTATTAATGCCATGAAAAAATTTAAAAAATATAATTAATAAAGCCAATCATATTAACTGCTTGAGATTTTTGTTGACAAAGACAATATTCAAATCACACGACAAATTGAAGTGAGAACTTCCTCGCAATGTCTTTGTTTGACAATCAGCAGTTAGTGGTTAGTGTTAGCGGATTATATTAGCAAATTTGACCAGCGAATTATATCAACGGTTGGTAAAAAGATATTTGAAAAAAGTTAGCTGTTTAGATTAACATGTAAAATGACCTAAGGTTTATACATATATATTTAATAATAATAATAATAATAATAATAATAATAATAATAATAATAATAATAATAATAATTGTTTAAAAAAATAAAAAACATAATTAAGACAATCATATTATCTACTATATATTCTACTAAGAGCCCAAGAGAGTTAGGCCTATAATGGGTAGAAAAATGGCAGTCAAAATTTTTAATCAAATGAATGGCTTAGATTGATTAGATTTAAATTTTTCCTTGAGATTTCCTAATCTATCCTTAATGAATATGATTATCCGTTAAGTTTTCTGTTAAATATTATTTTTTCCGTAAATTTCTGTTAGTTCACTGTTAACTTACTCATTAATTTCAATAAGAAAGGTTGTAGGTTCGAACCACATCCCAATCAAAGTTGGCATAATTAGTACTCTATTTTACTCTTATTAAATTACTAGTTTTTTTACGCGCATTGCGCGATTGGGATAATGCCCAATGTTTTTTATTTTAAATAAATACTTTAAAGTATATCAACACAAGATTATATTAGAATTGTTCATATATGCATAGATAATTGAATGTTGAATTTGCGTATTTAAATAGATAATTCTAAGTTTACAAATGCAAGATAATATAGTCAAGATTGATTATAATTGTCAATAAAATAATTGTATAAATATGGTTGAAACCAAATACGGGACATAAGGGAGAGCAAATAAAAATTAGGGGTAGTAATAATAATAATAATAATAATAATAATAATAATAATAATAATAATAATAATAATAATAATAATAATGATGATGATGATGATAATAAAAATAATGATAATAATAATAATAATAATAATAATAATAATAATAATAATAATAATAATAATAATTGTTTTAAAAATAAAAAATTAATAATAATAATTTAATTAAAAAATAAAATTAAAAAAAAAAACATATATGGGTTCAGCTCCCCTTAGTTTTGCAACTTTTTTCACATCGGTGGGAAAAGTTGCATGGGAGCCTTGAGGCTCCTATAAAAGGAGCCTTTAAGGCTCCAATTTAAAAATTAAGCTTGCCCATCCGTTGATGGGCAAGCAGTGAGCCAGCGAAACTGGCTCTTGTTATTCAATGAGTCGAAATGGCTCTAAAGTAATTTTTTATTTTTAAATATAGATGTGTTTTTGGAGAAATCATTCTCAAAAACGTTAAGTGAAAATATTGTAAATTGCAATGTTTGTATTTTCAGTGGTTTGGAAGAAATTGTTACTTCAAACTGTTGAATAACCAAACACTTTCTTTGGCATTTTGATCTTTGGGTTACATCATATTTAGCAATCGTCCAATAGCTTTGGATTACATTATAATTAAAATTTTAAAATTTTTACTACATCTAAATTCCTTAAATTAAGATTTTTTTTATCGATAATAATTTATTCAACAATAATAATGGTTGAACTAAATGAACACTGAACAAAACACCTAAAGGATGGGTACCGTTGATTCATTTATTGATCTTGTATATATATGGACATTCATTAAATATATTAAAATTCTTTGCAACAAAAATACTTGGTTACTATTTAAAAAAGGTTTAGTAACAATTATAATGAATCTCTTATATTACATTATATTCATAGACTATGAGTTATATATTTAAATAAACAAATTCGACATTAAATTACTTATTTATATATGAACTTCTTATATATAATCTTACAAATATACTTCCAAATATTTAGTTAATTATAAACATTGGGCATTAACTCATAATTGCGCTTGTAAAACTAGTTACCATGATAAACACCAACTCCTAGTTACCATGATAAACACCAACTCAATAAATTATCTTTTGGGAAAGAAACAATTATATTATTCTCCCGAAACAATATACATCATATGTCAATCGATAAAAATGGGGCAATTAACCTAGAGTCAAAAACAGAGAGCAGGTGAGGAAATCTCGATTGCATTATTCATCTGGAAAGGAAAGGAAACAATATACATCATATATATAACGCAGACTTATTTATAGGATTTAATTAAAGCCTTAATTTATAGGAATTAAACTTTCATAAATCCCAACTTGAATAATTTGTTCTGGACAGAAAACAACCCTATAATCAGTGGTTCCTCCGGGACAAGTGAAAGTGCTGGTGGCATCATCCTTAGGGTAACTATAAGCATCAGGGCATCTGGTCTTGAAAAACATTGAATAATTTGTCGGATTACATGGTACATTATTGGTGCAGCAATATTCTGGTGTTCCAAAGGTGGTGCAAGGGTTGTTACACCCTCCGGCAACCCTGAGAGGGTCAGGGCATTCGCCCACAATATTTGCGGTGCATGAGATTGTGTGGCATCTGTCGGCGCCGGGTCTGGTGGGGCCGAAACTGATTGGGATGTTGAAGCCGTCGACGTTGGAGATGTCGAAGAAGTCGAGGTTGTTGAATTGGTTTAGGGCGAACTCCGCTAGGGTGTTGGGCGGTTTGCCCCACCCGGTGCATTGTAACACCCCACCGCAGTCGCCAGTCTCGCATCCACCCCTTCCGCTACCATCAAAGTTGCAATTTGTGCGGCCCCATATACGTGCCATGGCCGTGCCGGGTGGCACGTTGATGTTCCAGCTTTGGCCTTGGTCGAGGCGTTGGCCACCGCCAACTGGGGTTGCGGCTGCCCAAACGGTGTAGGGGCAGTGGTTATGAACTTCAAAGTTGACGGCGGAGGTAGATGTGAAGAGGCTGAGGAGAAGGAGGAGGAGGAGCAGTGGAAGAGTGGTGATGAGGCAATCCATATTTGTTAGTGATGAAATGCTACTTTAACTTGAATTGGTGTGTGATCAGAGTGAAGGCTGCTAGCTCACTATTTATAGAGTGGAAGGGTGAGAATATTCAACTTCAACTATTGTAAACTTGTAAGGAAAATAATATATTTACTCTAATCATCTACTCTCAATTTTTACTCGCTCTCACACTAAATATTTTGATGTAGACATATTTATAGGGACCACATGAAAAATATAATCTAACAGTGTCCGCCACCTAGGGAGTAAATTTGAAAGAGTAAAGATTTGAGAACGCATGTTATAGAACTCAACTTGTAATATGATCATCCTATTGTGTCACCACATGGTCCACATGACACGCAAGCAATTGGCGTGTGATATATATATTGTCTGGATTAAATGCTTGCATGATGAGGATTGTATTGATTAACGTAATTGAATAACAGTCTATACAATAATAATATAAGAAGATAGCTCTGTCGGGCCGGAGTGTGGAGGGCCCTTAGGGTTGGAGTTCAGCTTTTTGGAAGAATAATATAAGAAGATAAGTAGAGAGACCTAACAGACTACAAACACCAGAGTCCTAACATGCCTAACTGCTTCAGCACCAATTTTGAGGATTTTTTTTTTTTTGAAAGTCACCAATTTTGAGGATAAAACATTGTATTATGTCAAAAATTATAATTAGTAATCAAGTGTGACTTTATTTATTTATTTTTAAATTTATACTTGAATAGCATTCAACTTTACATTTTAATGGCAAGATGCTGGATTTATCCCTTCGCCTAACATATATTTTTTTTTACTTAATACTGCAAACTGCCTTTTAATTAAATTGAGTTAGTTTTAGTTTTTATTTTTATTTTTTTAAATCGATAAGTTCAACTCAAAGTGTCTAAAATGCTCTTATTTTCAATATTTTTTCTTTCATTTAAAGGTATTATCGACATTTATAATTGAATTTGGTTAATTTTAAAAAATCAACAAAATCAAATTTAAAACTATGGGATTGATAGCAGATAACTAGAAGTAAAAATATAGCTGTGTAGGCAATGTTTATATTCCTTATTAACCTTTAAATTAGTCTACATGGCTCAAATCACCCCCTACAAGATCAACGGATAAATTTGAAGATTGAAATTGTTCTTTCCAAGGGACAATTTCTCAAACTATATATATATATATATATATATATATATATATATATATATATATATATATATATATATATATTGAGATGAAGATTTGAGGAGAGACAGAGACGAGCGAGACACGAGCTATTTACTGTGAACATCAAGCATACAGAGCAAATATTCAAATCTTTCTTGAAGTTCTTCATCTAAAAAATAAAGAGACTTAGCAGAAGCTCAACTATATATATATATATATATATATATATATATATATATATATATATATATATATATATATATATATATTCAAAAGTCTCTTGTTAGATGAAAGAAAAACATTGTTTTTCAATTGTAAATTTGTGTCTACCAAGAGTAGATAGAGGAAAGAAACAAGGAGTTGTGAAATCCTGAGATTAGTGTTGGCTTTGTGATCAAGGCACTAGATCTTGTTCATGGTATCATGTACTGAGATGGTGTATTTAGCGAATTCCTCATAGGGTTAGGAATAAAGTGGAATAGAAGGATTACATATACCTTCAAATCACTATAAAATTTGTCACTCTTTTTATTTATTTTATTTTCCTGCACACTAAAATTTCTTAAAATCTTTACCTTTTTCAATCACATATGTTGTATACATTTTTGCTGTGCACACTGATCAGGAAGAGTAGTCAATTTTTATATTTCAAATTCAAGCTCACTTAGTTCTGATTTTTAAAATATATAAAAGTCTACTTACTCGCCTCTCTAGACGTTTATCCTATACTAGTTTTTACGCGCATTGCGCGATTGGGATAATGCCCAATGTTTTTCTTAAATAAGTATTTTAAAGTATATCAAGGCAAGATTATATTGAAATTGTTCATGCATAGATAATTGAATGTTGAATTGCGTATTTAAATTGGTAATTCTAAGTTTACAAATGCAAGATAATATAGTCAAGATTGATTATAATTGTCAATAAAATAATTGTCTGGGTATAGTTGAAACCAAATATAGGACATAAGGGAGAGTAAATAAAAATTAAAGCATAATATAACACAAATCACTCCATCTTTGGGGCATTGGTTTAATGGTTGAGATGCATCAACTTACTTCCAAAAAAAAAAAAAAAAAAAAAAAAAAAAACTAAAATATTAACAGAAATAATTGAATTATACTCCACCTAGCTACTTAACCACTTTTGCAAACCTACACTTTTATTTGGAGTTAATTTCATTTTTTGTCTTAGATTTATATGTGACAATTCACATTTAGTCTTTTTTAGAACATTTATCTTTGGTCATAGTATTATTGTGTTTTGACCGTTTTTTATTTTCTGTCAACAAAATCATTGAAATGTCGTTAAATATAAGTACAATTCATTTTTTTTTTTATACAAAGTGGGTTGACATGCTATATTTTTTATTTTAAAAAAATCATAATTGAAGACCTAAATGTACTTGTATTTTACAAAAGTTAAACGATTTTGTTGATGGATGACCAAAAATGGTAATGACATAATAATACTATGACCAAAGGAGGATGTTTTAGGAAAAAAAAAAAAAAAGACTAAAAATAAATTGTCACTTATAAATCTATGATCAAAATTGGAATGAACTCTTTTTATTAGGTCGGGAGTTTGAACCCCCTACCTCTCGTATGGAAAAATCAATCTGGCTAACACTTTGCTCCTTAATTAGACCGATTCGGTGCGAACGGGAATTAGTTTGAGTATGAGTCATTATGCTGTGCATCCGTGTGCACCATGCATGGTGCACACGGATGCAAAAACAACGTCGTTTTGACATCGACTTAAAAATAATAATTCAGAATTGCATAACTACACATCCATAATTTCATAACTATACATCCGGAATTGCGTAACTATACATTCAGAATTGCATAACTACACATCTAGAATTTCATAACTATACATCTGGAATTGCATAACTATACATCCATAACTTCATTACTATACATCCAGAATTGCATAACTACACATCCATAACTTCATTACTATACATCCAGAATTGCATAACTACACATCCATAACTTCATTACTATATACATCCAGAATTGCATAACTTCATAACTATACATTCAGAATTACATAACTGCACATCCATAATTTCATAACTATAAATCCAGAATTGCATAACTATACATCCATAATTTCATAACTATAAAGATTAGGGAGTAATATTGAAGAGCTAACTGCTGATTGCCAAACAAGGACATTGCGAGGTAGTTTCCCACTTCAATTTATTGTGTGATTTGAATACACTTTTTATCAATAAATCCCCCAAGTAATTAATATGATTGACTTAATTATATTTTTTTATTTTTTAAACAATTATTATTATTATTATTATTATTATTATTATTATTATTATTATTATTATTATTATTATTATTATTATTATTATTATTATTATTATTATTATTATTATACCTTAGGTCATTTTACATGTTAATCTAATCAGCTAATTTTTTCAAATATCTTTTTACCAACCGTTGATATAATTCGCTGGTCAAATCCGCTAATATAATCTGATCCGCTAACTACTGATCGTCAAACAAGGACATTGCGAGATAGTTGTCACTTCAATTTGTTGTGTGATTTGAATACTCTCTTTGTCAACAAATCCCTCAAGTAGTTAATATGATTGGGTTTATTAATTATATTTTTTAATATTTTCATAGTATTAATAAAATACTTGGTAAATAAATATATAGCATTGTTTTGTATTATAACTTTGATATTTAATTAAAAAAATAGTGCACAAAAACTATAATAGACAATGTAGTGAATATAATCGATCAATTGATAAATTTTAATGTAAAGGATTTTTACATTGGAGAAAAATAAAGACAATATAACTAATAAAATTATTTCTCTTAATTAATTTATTGATAATGACTATTTTTTTTAATAAAGACGTTGTATGGACAATGTAGCGAATATAATCAATTGATGAATTTGAATGTAAAGAATTTTTATATTGGAGAAAAATAAAGACAGTATAACTAATGGAATTATTTCTCTTATTTAATTTATTGATAATGAATAACTTTTTTTTTTTGAATAAAGACATTGTAGACACATAATTCTAAATTAAAGACATGCATATGTATTATTTTTTGTTTTAGCTACTAAATTATTATTATTTTAATTTAATAAGAGTAAATAGAGTACTAATTATGCCAACTTTGATTTGGATGGGGTTCGAACTTAAGACCTTTCTTATTGAAATCAATGAGTAAGTTAATGGTGAACTAATAGAAATTAACGGAAAAGATAATATTTAACGGATAATCATATTCATTAAGGATAAATTAGGAAATCTTAAGGAAAAATTAAAATCTGATCAATCTGAGCCATTCATTTGATTAAAAAACTTGACCGCCATTTTTTCTACCCATTATAGGCCTAACTCTCTTGGGCTGTTATTAGTATATATATAAATAATACTAGTTTTTTACGCGCATTGCGCGATTGAGATAATGTGCAATATTTTTTTTAAAATAAGTACTTTAAAGTGTATCAAGGCAATATTAAATTAGAATTTTTCATGCATAAATAATTGAATGTTGAATTTGCGTATTTAAATATGTAATTCTAAGTTTACAAATACAAGATAATATAGTCAAGATTGATTATAATTGTCAATAAAATAATTGTACAGGTATGGTTGAAAACAAATACGGGACATAATGGAGAGCAAATAAAAATTAGGGTATAAAATATTAAATATATACTAATATTGAAGAGTTAAGTGCTGATTATCAAACAAGGACATTGCGAGTTAGTTTCACACTTCAATTTGTTGTGTGATTTGAATACTCTTTTTGTCAATAATTCCCTCAAGTAGTTAATATGATTGACTTAATTATATTTTTTTATTTTTTAAAACAATTATTATTATTATTATTAT